AAAGAGAGAGAGAGAGAGAGAGAGAGAGATTACTGAATTTCACAATGTACCTGGTAGGGATGGTGAAGGGAACAGTAATCAATATAATACACCAGGTGTTTTTTATAGGACGACTCAGTTTATGGATTTCCCTCACATACTGTACACTCAGAACACATACATCCACGTATTCATTCCCTGTGACTCACACACATTTGGTGTACATGAGCATACACACACACAAAATATACATATTTTTTTGTTTTGTGTTGTTTTCTTTTTGTCTTTCAACCTTTTTTTTCTCATTCTCATCCTTATTTTCTCTCCAATAACCCTAACTGGCATGTTCTTTGGTGATTCCTTTTTTGAAGGAGAAGGAAACAAACAAACTGTAAGTCTTGTCGCTTCCTCGGAGGCGTATAAAAAATATTAAAATCATAGAAAAAAAACTTGTTTCTCTCGTGCAGGGGCGCTCGGCTCCTCTCTCTCGCTGTCTGCCACATTAACAAATTCTAGTAGAGTGTATGCAATTATTTTTTAATTTGATGGAAATCACTGCCTTACATTGTCAATTAATTTACGATGCCTGATTAGTAATTAGTAAGACTGTTGGACCGCAGACATTTAGCATTAGCATGTTTTAACAAATCTCACTGAACTATATTCATGAATGTTCAGCGTAGTTGAACACTTGAACACTACATGAGCGAAGCAGATGGCGAAAAACGGAAAACAACACCATTGTTTGTGTGTTCTCTCAACCACAGAAATTTATTCGACAACCACAGCAAGTGGATGACCTGCCAATCTGAATTAAAACGATAGAGCGTGACTCAGGCAGATGATACAGGCAGTGTATCCTTTTAAGTATGTCTCCGTAAATGTATGTGTATTTTCTTAAGTGTAACCCCTTAATTGTATCCTATTTAGTGTAATCTCATAAGTATATGTTCTCAAGCAAATCCTCTTAAGTGTATTCCCTAAGTGTATCCTCCCTAGTGTATGGAATTTAGGTGTATTCTCCTAACTGTATCCTCTGAAGTGTATCCTCTCTTGGCCAAAACATAATAATGAGAAAGAATTTATGATCATAGGAGTTTTATCTTAGAATATTGATAGGATTAGGAAGGAGAATTTACTTCAGGGATCATATACTTAAGCTTTTGTGTGGCTGCTTGTTCGAACAATTTAATTATCGAACTTAATGAATGGTTCTAATATTCTGATATAAATAATGACATGATTAATGGTTTTAGTATTGCATGGGAAAGATATTTTGCTATGAGTTAATAGGAAATAGACAGGGAGTTAGTTGGCAAGAGTGTTCGATAGATCATTTAGGGTGAGGAGGGAATTAGGAAGATCCCGAGGGAAAGGAAGGGAAGTTACAGTTAAGTATATGAAATGTGTAATATTATCGTCACAATATAAGTGAGATTTGCTGAGGTTTAACTTATTACTGCAGTCAACTGTCTTCATGGAGTCGATAACGGTGAAAGTGTTTATCCTTATTATCAGCATAAACTTCGAGGCTTGGCACAGCGCAAATCGGGACAGACTCGCAGAGAACGACCAGGCGCCTTTCGTGAATGCCCCTGTTGCGTCGGGGGCAAAGGTCGGGTTCATCCCATCCATCATTAATGTTTGCCTTTACCAGTGATTTTGTACTTATGTAGTAAGCTATTTTCTTCATACATTATCATTATATTCAAAAATGTGCACAGCTTACACGTATCTTTTAACAGGTGTTTGATCCGTGTAACTGCGTTGTATTCTTGCATCTGCTGAGTTACCAAGAGTACAGGTTATATATTATTATTCATTGAAAATTTTCTGCCGGGTCAACATCTAAGGTCGTTAGCAGCGTATTCAAAATACAGTGATAGGGTGCGACTTGGAGGTGAAGTATGAGGTAATGATCAGGATAAGTGGACAGAACCAGGGGTGAAGAAGAGAAGGAAAAGGAAAGGGGGAGAAGAAAAGACCATGCTAAATGAGGCGAGGGCTGATCCCTACACCGGGCCTCCGTCTTCTAAGCCCCTCGCGACAACAGCGGGCAAGGGATAGGTGCCCTCATGTAGATGGTGTTCCTCACTTCCCGTAGTATTGTAGTTTTATCTTAGTCTCTTCTTGATTGACTACTGGTGTAACCGATTCGCTAGTAAATGCCTTGATTTTTAACACTGCTTTACCTCGAGTCCTTTTGATTGTATCAGGGTAGTAATATAATAGTCTATTGATTAATTATCTGGATGACACACAAAAAAGGAAATATATAACAAAAAAGGAAATATATATTACTGACTGAACAAAATATACATATACATTTTTATTACATGAGTTTGATACACAACAGGTGTGGCATGTTGACGGCTGTAATATAAGAATTTTATATTGATGTTAAAGAGTCTGAATTACAACCATTATGGCCATCAGTATCCCCAAATGGAGATACAGGCTTTCGCCACAACACATTTACATCGGATAATCGTCAATATCTAGTATAAAAAATCCCCCTAAAAACATCAACATAAATCTTATAGGCCATCCACCACACGCCTTTCCTCCAGACCACAGTGATCTTCCTCGAGGTCCAGATATTTGTTACAGACAGCGTTGTACACCATATTAGCAAACTGGTCCACCACGATGTAGCCAAGGTGTCGAGAGTCACTGCATTTCCACCTGAATAGCGGAGGTGTATTTAGCTTCTTTTTTGCACAGGCGTCGTTGTACTGGACGGATAAGGGTATGGTGCTGTCCCACAGGGTCACGCCGGTTCCCTGGAGTTCCCGGACAGCGATTTCGTTGTACAGCTTGGTGAGGTTGAGGCTCATCTTGTGCGTCTGGTGCCTGGCGGCCTGGAACGCAAAGGGGAAGGGAAGAGAAAGCTGTAAATATGCGCGGACACACACACATATATCACACACACACACACACACACACACACACACACACACACACACACACACACACACACACACACACACACACACACACACACACTGTACAGTGTTTGGTGATGGTTTCCCTTAGCATTGTGTTGTCTTGTGTGCGAAGTGTGAGAGTGCGTGCGTGCTTGCGTGTGTCAGCGAACCATTTGGTTTACCCGGACGACCCATTCCGCTTGCTTCGATCCTGAAGGCCATGGTCAGTGGTCAGCCACTTGGCTCCGAACTCCGAACCCCTTGTTACCAGCCTTCTGCCACTCACGTGCGGAGTCCCCCAGGGGACTAGAATGGGGCCCCTATGCTTCCTAGTCATGATTAACGACGCTCTCCTGGATACCGAGCATCGATGGAAATGCGTGGATGACTCGACCATCGCCGCCGCCATTGACAGTTCCTGCCCTGACCACTCCGCCTTCCAGCGCATCCTCCTGGACCACCGCAAATCACGTCACTATCAAGCGCCAGGAGTCGGTCGTGATGCAGTTCGACTTCTCCACTGCCCCCGCCCCCTGCCCATCCGCACGTTGGACGACCACCCGCTCGACGCAGTCCGTTCCACCAAGCTGCTGGGCATCACCATCGACGAAAAGCTCTCCTGGACGCAGCACGTCAGAGACATCGTGAGGTCTGCCTCGTACAGACTTCACATTCTGCCTCAAATCCCTTGGCGTTCCAAGGGACTTGAGCTTCAGAATATCTACAGGCTATTCATCCTGCCTAAATCGACCTCCGCCTCCCCCGCCTGGTCCCCCTCCCCCACTGCCACCAGCTGCTTCAACTCGAGAGAGGCACAGAAAAGGGCAGCCAAGATTATTCTCGGCCCTGTCTATACCAGCTACGACAGCACCTTGACTACCCTAGGCCGTACCTCCCTCGCCACTCACAACACCACCTCACTGCAACAGTTTGGCCTGAAGTTAAATGTCATCCACGACACCGCGACCTGCTGCTACCGACGCGCCGCCGCCCCGCCGGGCCCTACGCGCCAACAAACTGATGCCCACCAGGGCCCGCACTGACCGCTACCACGGAGCAGAAGACCCACTCTAGTCCGACTCATCAAAGAGCACTGTTCCACAATTACTTGTCCAACTCCTAGCACACCTGTATTTACACTTATCTTTTGTTATATTGGTTATTTTGTTGTTATAGATCGTTAGTTTACTTTGTTGTTTGATGTTTATATGTGTATGTTTATATAGTTTGTCTCTTTATCTGTATTTCTATGTATATTTTCAGCCTCTGGCTGCATGAAAATCAATAAACCGATTATCCTTATTATTATTATCATTATTACTATTATTATTATTATTATTATTATTATTATTATTATTGTTATTATTATTGTTATCATTATTACTACTACTACTATTATTATTATTATTATTATTATTATTATTATTATTATTATTATTATTATTATTATTATTATTATATATGCATGTATACTTACATGATTTATCTACACACACATACAATATATATATATATATATATATATATATATATATATATATATATATATATATACTTTTCAATATTATTCAAAACTATGAACAAAATATATATTTAATCCTTTTCAAAGTAACAAATAATTGTAAGCGGCAACTTTGCCAAACGCTTTGCTCACATCCTTTAAACATTCCTAAAGAAGTGTATGTTTTGGTGTATAAACTTGTGATTGTAATTCTAGAGTAAAACAAATATTTCGGCCCCTAATTCTCCTTCATATTCTAAGGGGTGATCAGACGTCATCTAGCAGTCCTCACAGATAGTTCGGCTAACATTACAGGAATATTGGAAGAAAGTTACACGACTATACATGGGATCCCCGTTTCTCTCTTTCAACACAAAAAACAAGCACCTGATCGTAATTTAGACGTGAGAAGAATAGCACGTTCAACAGAATGTGTAAGTTTGGGGCGACACTCTAGAATCAGCTGTAATGCCATCATGGCTCTGAGTGCCAGACTTGTTCATTGACGTCGCCATTGGAATGCACACTGGGAATGCCACTCTAAACCGCTACTTGCTTCGTGCAAGTAAAACAACGAACGGAAGTACACTTATATGCCAGAGGCTTTTCCGATTTATTGCTTCATCAAGATATGTCCTGATGAAGCAATAAAGCTAGAAGCCCAGATGAAGCAATGAATACGAAAAGGTCACCAGCCCTATCCATGCTAATGGCCACTGGATTTTAATGCAGGCCGTATGCAAGAGAATGTACAGGTGGAAGAGCTTTCAAATTCCTCTAAACTTGAAGGGCCAAAGAGTGTTTTTTTGGCCTCGGGCGATGAGAAGTGTGGAAGGCGCTTTCTGCGCATACACGAACTTTGAAAAAAAATGGAGGCGACCAAACAGCAACATGAAATATGTAAATGTCTCAAAGGATAACAGTAAATGTGATGAACTAGCAACATTAAACGACTCTGAATCTTTGCGGCACTTTCTTGAGCGTCCTAGCCTTCAGCAACGTGCTATAAGAGAAAAAAATCAAGTAAATGTGTGGAGCAGCAGCATGTGCGTCCTGTCTCTCTCATTTCACTCATGTTATATATTATACTTCATAGAATAAAAGGGATTTCATATATCTTTCCATACAAGTTTACCGGAAACACTACCTTCTTCACACACACACACACAGACAATAAAGTTAAACGTCACATCACTAAAAAAAAAAAGTAAAGATTTTCACAATTTCAACATATGCTATTCACTTTCAATTACATTTACTCATACTCAGTTGTAGTTAGGCTGCACTGAGCCCACAGACTACTATAGATGCAACATTGCTGCATAGGATAGCACCGTAGAGGGAGTGGATTTACCTGCAGATCATCAGTGAGTTTGTAATAGACAGGCACAGTGGCGGCTAGTCGGGTGAAATAAGGCTTCAGCTTAATGAGTGATTTCTCATATGGGATGGCCTTTAAATCGGGGCGCTTTGTCATGAAGTGAAGACCGGAGTCTGCAAACCATATTGAATCACTATACCTTCTAATTGTATATATGAAATGGGAATGCAAAATTAAATATTCATGTGCGTGTGTTTACACACACATACATATATAATTCAAACAAACAACACAATTATTGGAAATAAGCTCTCCACATCTCTCAGAATAAAATGGGCTTCACACGGAACCTCCCTGCACATACCCATGATAACGACAGTTGGCTTGGTTTCTTTCCCCTTCTCCCAGCGGTCCATGATGTGCGGTAACCCTTCGAGGAAAAATTCCGTGTGGTAGGTCACTCGGATGGGAAGCGTTAAGTGCTTCGTCTCGAGTGTGGTAACTAAGTGCTGGCTTCTCATCTTCTTCAGGGCAGTCGTTCCGTAACTCCATTTCTCCGTTAACAAGGAGAGAGATTTTAATTATTCTAGAGGTAAAGGCCGGGGGGGGGGGGGGCTGAAGTAGTGAAGGCCAAAGGGAGAGAAAGAGAGAGGGAGAGTCAGTGAAGTAGCGAAGGGCAAAGGGATAAAGAGAGGGAGAGTCAGTGAAGTAGCGGGGATGAAAGGGAGAGAGAAAGGGAGAGTCCGTACACGGATGGAGAATCAGAAAACAAAGATGAGAAGAGGAAGAGCTTCTCTTAATTCTTTAAATTTTGATTCTTAAACATTAATATTGAAACCCGAACTATCTTTGAAATATTACTTTTAAAACTTCATCTATCTTAAAAATACCACTTTTAAAAGCTTACCTTTGAAACATTACTCTTTAGGCCAAACAGGAATTCGTTGTAAGGATTGATCATAATCGAATTTGATACTTATGGTATTAATACACTGTTGACACATCTCAGTTTTGGCTTACCTTGTTGGCTTTCTTTCTGTATCGTAAGTCTGGGCTAGCAAGCCGGAGGGACACAGCACTGAACAGGTACCGCATGTGAGAGTCCCCAACCAAAATAATGTGGATAATTTCTTTTGAGGTGGAGTTCACATTTTGAGAATTTTCTGTAGGTTTTGGAATACTGCAATAAATATTGTTTAGGCTGATAAAATGCATTAATTTGCAAAACTAAGATTCTGGCAGGAAGCATATCTCTAACATCAAATAACATGAAGTGACCACATCTCTGCACACTGTACATCCGTCAGGCATACCCCACTATAAATGCAAGAACAGACCAACTTACTTCCTTGTAACATTGAACGTTTTCAAACATTTCTCAATGAGTGGGAAATCATACTCCAACATCTTGCAACACATATTGGTTGCAACGATCTTAGAATAGCTGTAACAATTTTTTTTGAATATCGAGTCCTTTAGCTGGATGGTTTCGGGTATTGGCGGCTTTATCCTCTGAAGACTAGGTTGATAGGAGTTCTTGGGGAAGTGAACCAGATAGCACAGCAGGGCCAGAGACACCGCCAGGAAGGCCAAGAAACAGTTCCTAATCGATAATGGAAATCCTGAAATGAATTGATGAATGTCAGTCACCTCCACATTAATGGTAATTGGTGTTTCAATTGGCAATCAGGTGTTTACGCATTTGTGCCATAAAAAGAAGTAAAAATGACTTCGTCTTTTGTAGGGGTTCCTTTGGTATAATAAATCTATACTTTGCTTATACATTCATGTATATGGCATCTTTCAAAGTCTAAAAGTCCCAGGTTAAGTGACTCACAAACGATATAGTTGGGTACAAATGTTACGTTAACAGCATAGGTAGTATTGTACGTTACAAGTGTTATCAAGCCCTGACAACAGTGTGTTAACAGCTACTTTTGTGATGCAGTTGGCATTTAAAACATACCTGCAACACGGAATTGTAAAATAAAAAAATCGTTAGGTTTTGTGACATCTAAAACAAGATGCAATTTTCGCTAAACGTGTTTTGAAAAGAAACTGATCATCGAGTAATTGCTGCGGTGACAATATATTTGTTACCATACCATCACTTACATATACTTTTACATTTTTATTATCTTTACGATTATCCTTATCCTTATCATCACCATCATCATTTCATCAGCGGTGCCATTATTTGTTTTAGTAGTTCTTGTTATTACAAGCATTGTTATCAGTATTATTAGTACTGATATTACAACACTGAATTGTTCTTTTGATTGCCTTTATGATATTCATAATGGTAATAGCAAGATACCATGAATATGGTACCATAATAACAAAAATGACAAAATCATTATTGACGAAATTCATACTAGCGGCCGCCGTGCTAGTAGCAGCTATGAAAATAAAAACACTAAAAACAACAAGTCCATTCAGACAAACCAATGTAAACTCTTGGTTTTATTCCGGTGGTTTGTAAAACAGAGCTATTGGTGTGTTGATGTCTCTGAACGAATTCTGTCTGTCTAGGCTTATATACTAATCTACACAAACTAAATGGATGTAGAAAGCAGACCAAGTGCTTGACTTTTTTCATTATTTAAAATCCATCACAAGACCAATTATATCAAATTTATGAACGCACCCATACCGTATTTTGTTTGCTAGGAGTTGATGGCACCATAACAAGGTCTTTTAATTGGCTGCTTGAAGGCAAATTGGTTATTGAGAATATCTCAAAACAAATCCCAAGTTGTGATCTAATAGTGTAGGATCCACATATATACCTGCCTCTTTGTCTCCTCAGTTCTAATTTTGTTAAGTTAGGTTTCAGAATTACTAATAATTAATTTGTTTCTTAACATGGCATTAACATGTCTCTCAAAGAGCCCTAGCTTCCATGTTACCCTTGGGCAAGCTGCAGTACCTGTTCGCCTCCACAGTTAGGGTACAGCTCAATTTAAAGCAAGGGAACGATACTGAGAAAAGTATAATGTTATTAGTTCGAGTTCCATAGCTTTGAGGATGTTGCTGATCGATAGGATTAGATCAGTGGCGTAGATAGAGGGGGGGTCAGGGGGGGGCGGAGGAAAACCCCCCTCTAGGGCTAAACTGCCACGTTGTCGGAAAATTGCTAATCTTGTCGGAAAATAATCATGAAGAAACGAAAATGCTTATTAAATTTTTGTCGGAAAATCTGCATTTCTCGCCCCCTCCCCCCCTATAAAATTTCCTATCTACGCCACCGGATTAGATAAAGGATGTATTCGCTTTCACAAGGGTCTAGAGAGTTACAGCTTGAACCATAGACACAGGCATATGTAGTGAATTAAGCTATTGATGACTTACTCAAAATCCTGAAGTTGGTAGGTGGAGTTCCGCAGGGTGGCTTCTCCTGCTGATAACATGAATGTGGCAGAGCCGGCGAGGGGAAACAGTACAGATAGGAGGAGCAAATCATATTCTCTCAGCTTGCAGTATGACTACCGAGACGGCAGACGTCAGGATCAGCGTGAGAGAGCTGTTGACAGGAGCCGTTAAGAAAGTCGGCTTCAGTCCGCTTTGAGGGGCTGCTCGAAGTCCAGGACGACGAGACGATACCCTGACCTGAAAGACCTCTAGCTTCATTGTATTGCTTGTCGCCCTAAACATTTCAAAGAAGGAACCAGTTTGTTCCAGTTGTTCAGTTCATTCCTCTGCAGATTCTCCTGATTATCAAGTGTGAGTTAATTCAAGATTCTTACACTTTGGTGGATCTCTGTTGCAGGGCTTAAAGTGGTAGTTCTAACCATTTTCGTTGCACGAGCAATTTTCAGTCCAATAGCCTACGGATTTTTTTTTCCATTGTAAATTCAGCGTGAGTCTCATTTGGAACTAGTGCAACTAGATGTTTTGTTCATGAATATTGATTATGGTTCATAGTTTATCTCAAGACCCTGAATGAGTGGATATTCCAGAACATTTGCACAGATAAGTAAGCATCTCAGCCCCCCTATTTCTCTCTCTCTTTTTCCTTTTACACTTCTGCTGAAGTTTTTGTTTCCAGTGTATCAAAATCTGTATCAAGTATTTACTTATCAATGGGGATATTTTCTACAATAAGGTATCAGCGATATGTGTATAAGTATCAGCATCACTTTAACTATCTATGAAGAATCGATGCATCAGAATCACTTTTGATAATTTACAAATATCAGTGTAATTTACAAATATCGTGATCCCTCTTGATCACTGAGGTTAGGCTAGAGAGTTCCAACAGTTAAATTCTTGGAAAGATATAAAATGTCACATTAATAGTCAAATTTCTTTCAAGATGCTGTGGCCTTGGCACAGTTTTTTGCAGTAGATCTGGAATTCTTCCACAGATCTCGTTATTACTGCAACAGATCTATAAAGACCAATCTGCGTGCTCAGGAAAATAGATATGCATTCAAGTGCCATCCAACCATCCAGCTCATTAGCTAAACTTACTGGCAGCACAATATTGGAGATTGTCTCTCAATATGGAAATTTGTGGGTGTGTCAGTAGTCTCTTTGCTCAGCTCTTTGGAACGAAGGTTTCAGGGCTCAGGTGTAGCACAGTGTGTCTTTCCAGAGGTGAGGTAGGTAGATTGATGCTACAGTGTGTTTATTTTCTAGCCTGTCTAGAGTGCAGTGAATCTGCAGATGGATGGGCTGAAAGGGTAGATCATGACGTACCATGATGACAAGGTTACATGGCACAGGTGTTGTGGTTCTTCAGATTAGACATAGAATCCCCGACAATTAAACTGCATTAGCATATGCATTACTATTTTTTAACATTCTTCACAGTTGCCGTAGTTAACGAACACCCAAACACCTTTTTTTGGTTTACCTGTGATTGGGAATGCCTATTGCATTGATGGATCAGATAGGACCTCCGGTACAGATTGAGACTTTTTGTCTTTCATGCTAGACCTGGGAATTTGAGTGTTTCTCTGATTCTGTCCAATAAGCAGAGTAATGAAGACAAAACACTACAAATAACTTCCGGATGCTGCCTGGATGATATCTGCTTGACCCTAGTCATACACAATCAAGCTGCACGTCTGACTCGAATAGAGGACCAACGTATCTTCTTTGCTGTAAGACGTAGTGTCCAGTATCACTGGTCCCCCTGGTCTCCCAGTAGCATCGGTTACCAAATATAATTAAGAGATGGAAGAGTTCTCTTCGGGCCAGGGAAGAGTGCACCCCCCTCTTTTGGGCTACGGCGCACATCCTCCTTTTGGGTCATGGTGCACTGCCTTTTGGGCCACAGTGCACCTTCCGATTTTGGGCCACGATGCACCTCTCTCTTTTGGGCCATGATGCACCTCCTTTTGAGCCACGGTGCACCTCTTTCTTTTGGACCACGGTGCACCTTCCGCTTTTGGGCCATGATGCACCTTCTTTTGGGCCACGGTGCACCTCACCCTTTTGGACCACGGTGCATCTTCCTCTTTTGGGCCACTGCGCACCACGGACCACAAGAGGGAGGGGCACCGTGGCCCAAAGGAGGGATCCTTTGGGCCACGGTGCCCCTCCCTCTTGTGGTCCGTGGTGCACCTCCCTTTGGGCCATGGTGCACCTCCTGGGCCAGATTAGTTGCAAACTGTTTGTGAGGTACAGCAGGCTGAAGTACTTCCACCTCAAAACAACAGTTAATAGCAAAGCAGTGGGTTTCAAGAAGTATACAGAGTGTACAGCACGTGTATCGGTGAGAGCGAGAGCGAGAGAGAGAGAGAAAAAGAGGGAGAGAGAGAGAGAGAGAGAGGGAGGGAGGGAGAGGGAGAGAGAGAAAGAGAGAGAGAGAGTTAGTGATATGGCGAACAGGTGTGTTCCTCTCATTAATGGGAAAACAAGTATTTCGTACCAAATGCCTTCTGCTCTGTTATTACTGATATATATTTATATATACAGTTAAAATTAAGAAGTGCTGAAGTCTGTGTTTGTGTGTGTGTGTTTAAGTTTGTGCATGTACATAAATGTGTAATTTCCCTTTCTCTCTCTCTCTCTCTCTCTCTCTCTCTCTCTCTCTCTCTCTCTCTCTCTCTCTCTCTCTCTCTCTCTCTCTCTCTCTCTCTCTCTCTTGTTTCTTTCTGCCTCTGTCTCTGTCTCTCTTTCTCTTTCGCATGAGTTTAGGAGTTATCAGGACCCCATAAACATTATATATATATGTATATATATATATATATATATATATATATATATATATATATATATATATATATATATATATTCATATATATATATATATATATATATATATATATATATATATATATATATATATATATATATATATACATATATATATATATATATATATATATATATATATATATATATATATATATATATATATATAAATGTCCAGTCACTCCTCTATCACAAGGAGGAAATAAAAGTTCTAGTCAGTGAAAGACATGTTGATATTTCATATGTGGCTCCTTCCAAGTATAAGTGATTCTATAATGAATACTTCTCCCTTCAATGTCTACTAAAAGAGGAGGAGTTTGTATCTATATTAGGGATGACTTCAAGGCGACCGTAGTCAGCTCAGGCACTGATAAATTCGAAGGTGTTGAGGATATATGGATTACAATATAATGCAGGGAACTACTGTCTATTATTGCTGGTTGCATTTATGCTCATGTTACGTCTTTCAGCTATATTTCAGATTGCTTTAAGAACATTTGTCTGCACAAGAAACCCGTCTTTATCAAGGGTAATTTCAATGACAATTAATTAGCATCAGACGATAAAGTTGGCAAATCAATCAAGACTGTGAAGTTGACTCGAGGCACAGATAGACCAACTAGGATAACCTGCAACTCTTATAGATCTCATGATTACTAATAAACCAGACATTATTACCAGTCTAGACGTAGTTCCCAGCCCGGTAGCAGTTCATGGACTAATATCTACCATCCTCAATATAAGCAATCCGAAAAAAAAACATCAGTGTATCAAACTTCTCAGTGCTTCAAGAACTATAGCCAAAACGACTTCTTTTGTAAGTCACTATTAAATGAAGTTCATCATCTGAATAGTATTCTTCAAACGGACGATGTTAATGTGCAAGTAAAAAAATGAAATCCTTTCTTGAAATGTATGGACAACTGTGCAACATCGTGACGAGGAAAATAACCCGCTGCAATAACGACTAGGGATCAGCTTAGAAAAAGTAGGAAGAGCAATAGTTCATGACAGAGAAGAGAAGAAACGACTGAAATTACTAGTCGCCAAAGGAAAAAACAATACTACAGATAAAAATTCCAGAGCAAAAGAGATGACATTACTATGACGTGGAAAACTATCAGCAAAATAGTTCCTGGTGCTAAGAGTAATTGCAAACACGTACATGGTAGCGATAACTTAGGTGAGAGAGGATTTTTTCCCAAATACTGGTAAACATACTTATTAAAAGTCACAAGTGAATCTAAACTTACATGTTGCTGAAGCTTCTGATGAAAAAATATACTACAAAAGTTCCAACAGCAGGTTTAGATTTGATCCTGTAGACTGCAACACAATCATTTGAACTATAAAAGATTTAACAAATTCTAATTCCTGATGGAATTCCCTTTCGATTCATAAGAAATTCGTTGCCAGTTATTGCATTTTATATTATGATTATTGTAAACACTTCTGTTATTATATTTGCTGACTCAGAAAATTCCTCACGTCATTCCCCAAGACAATAAATAACAATCGTCCATACTCTTTACTTCCAGTATTTTCAAAAGTCTTAGAGAAAATGGCAACCAATCAGCTAATGTCCTTTTTGGAGTCAAACTGACTTTTGGTAGATAGTCAGCATGCATTTCGGCAAAGGAAATAGCTCTTATGAAAGTGACCGATGAAATATACAGAGACTATTACTTATTTTACCTTTCTAAAGTTTTTGACAGTGTAAACCTCGACATCCCCATACAGAAATATATGTATCTTCTCAGATGTTTCCTTTGGTTCACGACACTGTATTTGTCAAGTACAGGATGATATTGTTGTAAGTTTTAATGGAGGTTATATAATACCAAGTACTCTTGATAAAAACTTGCGTGTTGGATCAACTTGTGATTTTTAACGTGCATATCGATGGAATGAGCAGAAAAGTCATGGGAACACTTATCTATCTTAACAGAATAGGAAACTGCTTTGAAACCCACGCACGAATAATTGCTGTGTAGTCACTAGTGTTGAGAATAATTGACTATTGTTCAAGAGTGTGAGGAGTCACACATGTCCTAATACGATAGTTGTTTTACAGTATGATAAAAATATAATGTATAATTTCTACAGAATAACTGTAACTTATGCAATAAAAAATCATATTGTAATGAATAACCAATGTAAATTGGAAATGAAGATTATTGTTTTCTCTCTCTCCCTCTCTCTCCTCTTTCTCTCTCTCTCTCTCTCTCTCTCTCTCTCTCTCTCTCTCTCTCTCTCTCTCCTCTCTCTCTCTCTCTCTCTCTCTCTCTCTCCTCTCTCTCTCTCTCTCCTTCTCTCTCTCTCTCTCTCTCTCTCTCTCTCTCTCTCTCTCTCTCTCTCTCTCTCTCTCTCTCTCTCTCTCTCTCCCTCTCTCTCTCTCCCTCTCTCTCTCTCTCTCTCTCTCTCCCTCTCTCTCTCTCTCTCTCTCTCCCTCTCTCTCTCTCTCTCTCTCTCCCTCTCTCTCTCCCCCCCTCTCTCTCTCCTCTCTCTTTCTTTTCTCTCTCACTATGGCTTTCTAGCTCTCTCTCTCTCTCTCTCGCACACACACACACACACACACACACACACACACACACACACACACACACACACACACACATATATATATATATATATATATATATATATATATATATATATATAATGCATATCTGCACATATCCCAAGGAAAACAGCACAAACATACCATATCCGCATAGCATTCTCTCCTTCGGCGCGAGGTCTAACCGAACGGGTTTACGGAGCAGCGGCTAGAATCACACTGACAACACAGGTGTTAAACATGCTCAGAACACATATGGCTGAGTTCGCTACGTGGCTGCGAGGGTTTGATTGTTCGAATAAAAAGAGTATTTGTATGGAGTATTGTCTATTGAGAACTCTGGGATGGAATTACTAGTTAGAAAGGGTGTACATAATTATTGGAATTAAATTCAGAAGGAAGTCATCACTGACAAACATTTAATTCCGTACTCTGCAGTATCCAATGAATCTCACGAATGAAAAATTAAAAGTTGAATAAAACTACATAAGGAGAAAATACAGAAAAAAGCATGATACATTGAGAAATATATTAATAAACAAAAATATAACAAGATATTTTGTTTCTTTTTTCTCTCATAATAATAAGCTATTTTAGGAACACTTTTTTGTGTATGTGTATTTGTATGTATATCTGATTGCGCAAGTGTGGGCGTGGGTATGTGTATGTATGTATATATGTATATATATATATATATATATATATATATATATATATATATATATATATATATATATATATATATATATATATATATATATATATATATATATACATATATACATATATACATTACATATGATTATATATATATATATATATATATATATATATATATATATGAATGATGAAAACACCTGAGGATGGAATCCAGGTGGATTCCGAAACTGTTGTCTCATCTTCAATTAATCTAGTTTTTTACATTGTGGGTTTTTCTACCATATATATATATATATATATATATATATATATATATATATATATATATATATATATATATATATATATATATATATATATATATTATATATATATATATATATATATATATATACATATATATATATATATATATATATATATATATAAATATATATATATCAGGTCAAGCCTAGGGTCTGCTACAGGCACCATGTAACTCTTTACTACCTGTCTCATGGTCGGGTTGTCAGCGACTAAACCGGCTCCCCCATCGAGTTTATGTTGCTGAGGGGGGGTGTGGACACCCAGCAGGACGAAAAATAATACCTGACAAAGGGCGGATGAGCTCACCAAGAGCCAACGGCCATCCATACCAAACCCACTGAAACACTCCACTAGAAGGAAACCACATACCGGATCGCCCTCCATAGCTCCCCAGGTGGAATCGAAAAGCATGCTACTGAGGATGTGAAACACCACAGAGTCAACATATGCAGGGAAGGGCTTATATTAGTTACCCGGAACGTTCGTACTGTCCATAAAGATGGTAAGGTTAAAGAGCTAGAACACGTTAC